TTCTTCTTCTATGGTACGTATGCCTAACTTCCTGTAATTGGTCCGAAAGTCCGAACCGTCCAAAAAGTGTTTTCATACTGTAAACGAACCGAACCATGGTTCAGTTTGATCCGGACTGAGACCACCTCTTTAGTTCGGACCAAATTTTGGTCTTTTGATCCGGACTGTGGTCCGTGGCACCTTTCTCAATTTTGGTTCGGACCAAACTGAAAAGTCTGAAGGTCCGGACCAAATGAGGTATGTGTGAAAACGCCCTAAGTGTCCCACTCAACCTGCTGTCCCACTCAACCTGAATTCACCCTAGAGCTTGAGTTAATGTAGCCAACAGGAACATCATTTTCATTGTCCTCAGCATTTAATGGCCATCTCAAACAGTCTCAGAGAGAAGATTGGGCATATTGTTTTTGACTTGCATGCCTCGGAGCTTAAGATCCCAATATTGGATTTTAAAGAGCCAAAAAATCTTTTGGGAACTCAAGCCCTCCTTTTCACAAAAAATAATCAATTCAAGGTATAATATTTGCATCATATAATTTATATTGTAGTTGTCTGCATTTTTTGTACCCCCAGTTTGCAGTGTGAAACCAACTGAACCAAAGGAACCTGAAAAGTGGTAACAAGACTAAGATGAGTGTTTGTGATTAGAACAGACAAGGTGTGTGTTAAAAATGTAATTAGTAATGTAGTAAAAGGTCTACACTCCCTATTTTACATCCTCAGACATCAGTTCAAAGAGATCATTCCCATTGTGTTTCCTCCTCATGTCTGAAGTGGCATATGTTCAACTGCCTATGTGCTGGATGTTGTTTCACAGATGCTCTAACAAAGTGGTAGGCTTTGACGGCTGTGTCAGTTAGCAGCCGAGCTGACGGGAGGGGGATGGGCAGAGTTGAAATTAAAAGGTAACATAATAAGAACAAAGCGTTCACTACACAGTATATGTTTCATACACATCCAGTGTGTGAGGTATGAGTGGCAGTTAACACACACAGTGGCTAAAAATGCTGTATGAGCCTGGGGTTCACATTAAGATGAATGCTCCATTTCAAATATTAAAACTGGCCTTTTTTGACACAGTAGGTGCAAATGAAAAGCTGCTGGGTCAAATGATCCCTTCATATATATTTGGGGTGCTTTTATTGCCTCTAATTGATACTGATAGCTGAAAAGTGACAGCAAAGGGCCACAGGTTGGAGTTGAACCCATGGCCGCTGCAGCAAGGACTCAACCTTGGTACATGAGGCGTTGGTTCTACCAAGTGAACTATTAGGACGCCCCAAATTATCACTTTTTGACATTAAAACAAAGGGGAAATAATTACACGTGTCCAATGTACTCATGTATGTAGTTACCAGTCTCTATAAACACACTCCATGAACACATTTCTATTCCTCACTTTGCAGTTCATTAGTGACTTTATGCTCCAACAGCTCTCCCATTCTGCTGCACATATCCATCACTAATCTCAATATAAATTGTTGACATTTTGTGTTTAATAGCATGCCAACAGAACATGGCATGTCCATTTGTCATTACAGGCAAACGTGTAAAATGCTTCAGTAAATAAACACCTGGTTGGTAAACTGTTGGATAATTAATGTTACACCTGATTTCATTTTTCATGCTGTTGTTTTAGTCTATAGACGTTAATTACTTTAAGGATTCACCTCACAGAAGTGTGCTGCCTTTGTGCATCTGAGGGTCAGATTTGAGAAACTATGCAATTATGTTAGCTGGTTTTAAAGTTTGACAAGCAGTCGCTGTTGTTGTTTATTAATTGTAAAGAAAGACTGTGTTGTTGGTATGTTGTACAGCCCTTTAGGGATAATTTGTGATTTTGGGTTATATAAATAAAATTGATTATATTGTTTTATTTATCTCATTGTTGTTGATTCATTATGTAGCTGACAGTAAAATGCGGGCTGGGAAGTAATTCGCTTTCTGTATTTGGAAAGTTTGTTTGTGTGAGTTTTATTTATTCTAAAACCTTTAAAAAATGTGTAAACATCTCAAGTTGTCTATGTTTGAGAAGATGACTCACTCAAATTAAAAGATAAGACACAAAAGTCCACACTGGTTTACAATAGAGGATTTTAACTCAATAATAGAATCGCTGTTGCCACAGCAACCAGTCTGGTACAAGACTAGTGTGACCAGGTGTCCCACTTTATGTGAGACTTCACAGCATTTTTATCCCTTGTCCCACATCATATTAAGATAATGTCCCACATTTTGATTGGCTCTAAATAGTACAGGTTAGGACAGATGTTTGTATGCTGTAATTTTAACTGGGTGAAGCTGGTGGAATGCAACTATCGCAGACTGTAACACCATAAAAACTGTAAAAGCTTCCTTTTATGCTTTACTTATCGTGGGAAAGTTGTATTCAATATACAATATTTTTGTTAGGTTCGTCACATGCTAAACCTCTATAGAGTGTCACATGCCAGGGCAGACCTAAAACATCACACAGCATTACAAGTATTGATTTGGTTTGTGGATAATCATCATATTTTTCACTGATTCCAGTTCAGCAGACTTTTGAATTCAGTTGAAGGACCATTTTCTAAAGAATACGATACCGCGGGAATACTGTAAAATTTTGGGGATTTAAAAATTCTTGGCTTTAATTATGTGTTGTGTACTTCTTAAGCCAATAGAGGACAAGAGACACACCAATAATTTTAGGTGATCTAATTTGTGTTTTTTTATGTTTTATTATTAAAAAATTATGAAATGATGTGTTTTATAACATTTGTAAATGTGTTTATTCCGCTCCAGTATTTTTATTGTATGAATACGTATTAATTTCCAGTAAATCAACATCCACCAACAATTATTGTTAACATAATTATTAATTATTATAATATTTTTATCATGAGTGAATGAGAAATTAATGGAAACAATTAAAGTGCCTTTTTTCTAAATATGTAAAACAAGCAACTTAATTAACAACGACTGCTTTGCCAAACCCTGCAGCCACAGTATCTGCAGGCTCATGACACAACAATTAAATCTGAAGTACCTTAAGAAGTAATCACTGAACTACAGACACACCAAGACCATCAGTATCTGCAGCATGCAGTAGCATTACTTAACTAAGTTTCAGTTCAGTAACTGCAGGACAAACAACACACAGTTGTCACACTAAAAACATGTTTTAATAAAGGTGCTGTAAGTGCTATTTTCTGTTAAATTAAGTTAAATAGCTTTAGATTCCGACAGCCATCGCTCATATAGGAGCTTTCAGTCAGTAGCAGTAAACAGAGAATACATTTTCTGGTATCCCATTTCCACTTTATCCAGTCAGGAGAGAGAACTCCACAAAGTGGCTGTCCTCGAGGGCAGGCAGCAGAATTTCAATGTGATGTGGAGAGGCGAGGGGACTGCCAGCCAGAATGTTGATTTCACTTATAGGGCCTTTAAATAAAATAAAAAGTTCTTTCTTACATCCATATAAATAACATTTTTGGCAAAAAATCTCACAAGTCCACCAACTACATACTACCTGCTCCGCACAAAAAGGCAAATGTACGAACTAGAAAGCTTAAGACTGAAATATTTTTAGTCACCAACAAAGCTAAAAGGAGTTAGTTTATTTGCAATTACTTTGTATGTCTGTCAGCTTGTTGTGGAGTTATTCTGCCCTCATGTGGTAAAACATGAATTAATGCAGCTTTAAAGGCATACTATGCAGGATTTGTCCGAGCCAATATAGATAGCTATAGTGGTTACGTTCTAAAGCACAAATAACACGCCCACACATCAATGCAACCCTGCAGGAAGCTGCCATATTTCTGGATTTTGTATTATTGCAGGTGAAGTGTAGCTCCTGTCTGCACTCGGTCAAACAGGTGTTTTTATAGTCCGAAAGTCATACCCTGCATGCTGCCCAAAGGTTGACATAACAGAATTAGAAAAAAAATAGGTCCTCTGCAGATACAGACACCACCACACACTTCAAGTGGGTCATAAGTAATGATTAAGAGGGATCATGTTTGTATGTGTCTGTAGCCTAAACTGTCTTTTAGGGAAGTCCTGCATTGTATGTATCCTAGGGGAGGAGATTTTTCACTGCATAATTTGTCTGCAAACATAGAAGTTATCCTCTTTTTTGTGGCAAAATGTCCCTTATTTGGTTTCTGACTGTGGTTCCTTGCTGAGCTGCAGCTGATGAATATGAAAACAAAGAGGGAATTGTATACAAAATCACTTTTTTGTTTAACTCTGCCAAAGCCTTAAAGCTTCAGTTTAACTTTTGAATACATTTTTGTGCAGAATGAAGACGCTGTTTCGCTGTAACTGCTTTCCTTATGCCTTGAATGGACAAGATGAACAATTATAACAACAAAGAAGTTTTGGGTGTTTTTTTGTAACAATTCTGAGGTAGGCTACTATAATACTTTAGTGATTCTGCTTCTGCTTCACTACATTTCAGAAATAGATATTGTACTTTTTACTCCACTACATTTATTTAATAAATTTTGTCATTAGTCACTTGACAGATTCTGAATACACCATACTATTAACAAATAAAATATCATATATTGTTATAGATTAAGCTACACAGCAGTATATAAAGTAATTAAAAGAAGCCCCACCTAGCTTAGCTTAGCTGCAACATGAAAGTGATATGTACATTGATTTATCAATGATTATAATCCAATAATATAATAAAATATATTATTCTAAAATAGGCAGTTGTTGTGCAGAATGAGTACTTTTACATCTGTTGTTCTAAGTATACATTGTTGCTAATTTGTACCTTTGCACTTCTTCTACCACCGCTAATAAGTTTTGCAATGTAACAACCATAAAACTATCCTTAATAATAATAATAATAATTAAAATGGTTCCCAACATATGTGTTTGTGTTTTGAAATGAATAAAAAGGTTTTCAACTCTTGGTTTACATGCTTAAATACAAAATCAATTGATTAGACTTTTTTGTGTGTACCTTTATTTTGAAGGTCCGCAGCGCCAATAGATGACGTCACAGAAGTCGCTCAGGATCCTCTCGTGAGTGTGTCTGACAGATTGTTCAGCTTGTAATGGTAGTAACATTGTGTGTTGTTTTTATACTCTCAGCTTGTGTTCACAGCTGTGGTGAGTACAGTCTGCCAAAGTGTGTGTGTGTGTGTGTGTGTGTGTGTGTCAGCATTAACCTGTGTTAAAATGTACTGTAATTAATGGCAGTGTCAAAGCTAGCTAACATTTGAGCTAACCGAGCTTTGACACTGCCGGTGTGTCGGTTTAACTGGTGGTTGAATTAACTGGTGATATTCCCGAGCATTGATGCAGATCTGTACACTAGAAATACTGACTGAATTGACTTCTTTTCATAATTTTAACCAACCAGAATGAAATCCTTAACACTGTAAACACTCCAGTTCTGATGTCTAATAAGATTAACGGAGTTACCTGGAGTTTGAATCAATTTTATTTGCGGCGGCGATCTCCGGACGCTTGAAGAGAATGACACAGTAGGTGACTGTGTCGATGCCTGTTACAAAAACTGCAAATGTCAATAAATAATAAAAAAAAATGTTCTTTCTGTCGTTTTACGAATTCTTATTAATCTGATGTCAGGTCTATTTGAGAAGAGTTTATACTGTCACACAGTGTGTAAGGAAACATACAGTCTGCAGTATATGTTTAACGCAGTGTGGAGTCAGCTGTGGCAAAGCGTGGTACGCCCAGATCAACTGGTGATAGCCTACAACATTTTACCATCGATCATGTCGGGTCTACACTTTTATCTCACCAATCACAATGATATTATACACATAACAGCACACTCTTTCATCCAAATTAGACAACTGTCAAATCTCATTTTGCAATAGGAAGAGAAATTGGATAATGTTAAAACTTTAATCAGTAGAGGGGCTACGGTATACAAATCCGATTCACATGGGATTTTGAATAAATGGGACAGAGATTATAAGATGTGATAGAATTGTGGTATTATACATTGAAACAGTCAGTATATGTTTAATACCATCTTGAAGTAGAGTTGTGACATGATATGACCAGATTAACTTGTGATACAACAGCTGTTTTCATTGATCTTATTTCCTTTTAAAGTCTACAGACTTTTATTTCACTAATCACAATGATATTCTGTACATGTCAGCAAACTCTTACTTACCATGATCACATGTGGGTACATTTGTTTTCTACACCAGAGCTGGTATGTTGCTTAAGTAGCCTAAGGATTTGATTTTGGTGGGTTTAAATTATTGACAATAACTCCAGTAATTCTAAAATGTGTGTGAAGCTATTGCTCAAACGATAACTCCGTTAAATCAGTTTTACATGCATTTAGGTCTTATTGTGCAGTATTTACCAATTTTATAATTATGACTTTATTTTCAAATCCAGAGTTGTGACGTGCAGCACATGTAGACTAAACTGAATTTTGTAGACTATTGGGATGAGTGAGCGAAACGTCTAGATTTTAATATTAAACTCGATGGACTGTAAATAGTGTAGCATGAATGTGCACTCTGCCACAGCTACAAAGTTCTCCACACTGCTTGGAGCGTAAACTCGGACTGATTAATTTATAGGCTGGATATAATTACACACATTAAAAACAACTATGACACTAGACCGGTAACATGAGGATTTTGGACGTTTTATTGACGTTATCAGTGTTATGTCACATACATTGCCATTCCCTATAGTCCTCACTTTATACTAGAGTTTAGAACCTGCTGGTTCCTGAGGAATACATAAATATTCATTATAGAGACGTTTTTGTGAAGGTTTTTTTTTTTTTTCACAAGAGAAACTACGAGCATTGAGCTCATCATCTCAACCAGTCTCACTCAGGATAATATCACAGGTTAATCCAAACTCGAGCTACTCCGTTAATGTGGTTTTACAATAGTGTGAGGATGTGGTTGCCTTTACAAACAATTACATTTTGGTGTGTTTAAATTATTTAAAATAGTTAGTGTTTCTAAGATGTATTGTAAAGCCATTGTATGATTACTATATACGATATCCAAAGGAGTCTTTCTTCAATGTAACGTTATACTCGGGGAGGACTCAGAACTGAAACAACGGTAGCGATCAGCAGCTGTTAATGTCTCCATGACAGTGAATAATAGTTCCGTAGTGAGGAGCAGACACCAACATCATTGTTCCAGTAAAGAGTTTCTATTGCAGAGTTTTAAAAGTCACCAACAAATGAATGTTATAGAAGTAGTCAGAATCTTTATTTCCTGGTTCGGCAATAAGGGGTCCTAAAAAGCCACGCCTACACACATCTGCCTCAGTATCACCAGTTAATTCAACCACCAGTTAAACCGACACACCGGTAAATACATTTAATCCAAAACACCACAAATCTCCTTATCATGCTTTTGTTACATATGTTTTGATTCTAAGTCATCACTAACTAATTATTAACACTTTCAAAATAATTATTTCTCAATGCATGAGATGGTAAAACTTTGTTTGTTTGTGTGTGTGTGTGTGTGTGTGTGTTTGTGTAGATGGGAACCTGCGCTTTGCCTCCTACTATGGAGACCACATGGTGTTGCAGAAGTCTCCAGAGAGAGCTGTGCTGTGGGGCTATGGACCTGAGGGGGCTCAGGTCACCGTCTCCTTGTCAGGACCAATAAAACAGAAACCCTTAGTGGTCACTGTGACAAAAGGTGAGTGCAGCCAGTTGTTGTCAGGTGGGAAGTTTATGCTGACATCCGCAGGGCACTGAATGGGTGCAGAGGCTACACAGAGTGATACTGACAGGGGCAGAGCTTTTGTTGTGTAACCAGTTTGAACAGTGACGGTGTGGCCTGAACAGTGTTTTGGAAGAACAGAATTATTTTTTTTATGGATGTAACATAGTTATTGTGTCATGTTTTCCAGTTAAAACTGCTCTTTTCATACTGACATTTTTATACTGACCTCCATCTAACTTCTCCAAGTGCGTGTCTCAGGTGTCCAAAGAAAAGAATGGCTTCTTTAATCTATCGCCACTCCTCAATCTATGTACGGACCCTCAATTAAAATGAATATGAGCTGAAAGTCAAGTCAGCTCAATTTTATTTATATAGACCAAAATCACACATTTTCATCAAGGGGATTTACAATCTGTATACCCCCGTCTTAATCCAGAAATCCTAAATGTTTTTACAGGTATCTGGCGAGTCACCCTTGACCCTGTTGAGGCCGGTGGTCCCTACATTGTGATAGCAGCTGTTCAGAACGGCACAGCCGTTCTAACAGATGTGCTGTTTGGAGATGTTTGGCTGTGTGGAGGACAGAGCAACATGTACTTTAAAACATCTCAGGTAGGCTGAGCCTGGGGTCTGTCTTTCTGATTTACGCTGACATAAATGTGCGGCAGAAGTTGGTCAAAGAAAAACTTAAAAGGTCGACTTTGGCTGTAATGGTCAGAAAGCATATATAACTACATTGGTGTCATGAAGCATTCTAGCCAAAGGGGCCTTTCTATTTGGTATTTATGTATGAATTTATTCATATTCCATTGTTTAATGAGAACTCTCTTTTATTTATTAATTTATTCATTCTCCAAAAGATTTTCAATGCATCACAGGAGCTGGCCCTTGCAGCAAAGTATCCTCATGTCAGGCCCTTTATGGCAGCTTTGAGGCTGAGTGAAACTGAGCTGATTGATTTGATTCAAGTGGAGCTTCCCTGGTCTGTGCCCACAGCAAGTGAGTCAAGGATTTATTTAATTATTCATAGAATTGTTTAAAGACTTGTTTGCAGCTAAAGGTTTTGGTTTGGCACTATTGAACTACAACTGAGATAGTTATACATGCTGTGTAATAGAAAAAATGCATATATTGCACATGTTCCTGAATCCAAGCTACTGTTTTCTTATTGATACAGCACAAGACAGCATAGTACTGTACAATATACATATAATAAAGTAAACAAATATAAAGAATGTTGCTATCTGTTTATGTGCATTCTACCATGTACTTGCATTGTGCTGACTGACTAACAGGCAGGTGTATTTCCAGGACGCGTGGCGGAGTTCTCTGCAGTGTGCTGGCTCTTTGGACGTTACATGTATGAGACCCTGAAGTACCCCATAGGACTGGTGGAGTCCTGTTGGGGAGGCACGCCTGTCGAAGCTTGGTCATCTTCAAGAGCACTGCAGCAGTGCGAACTAGATCAAACTAAAGATGGGTAAAGATGTGAAAAAACACAGTTCAGCTAACCTGCACCTTGAGATATATATATAGATGGTAATTGGTTTAAGGTGCTGGTCTAATTTTACCACGTGACAAACTGGCAACTCATGCAAGTGTAAGTACTGTGTCTCTCTATCAATAGTTCTGTGTAATAACCAAGAAAGGTTTGCTTGCATGTTAAAATCACATCAGCCCCAACAACAATTCTGTCTTGTGGAATGCAATGATCCACCCATTGCTCAACATGACCATCAAAGGAGCCATCTGGTACCAAGGTAAGAGTAATGGCTCAGGTATCAGATGTTCAGTACGGCCACATGTATATCACAAATCTATAAGGCATTTCTCGCTTTCAGGTGAGGCAAATACAGACTATCATCAAGAGAAGTACAACTGCTCCTTCCCTGTTATGATTGATGACTGGAGGATGGCGTTTCACCAGGGCTCTGGGGGGAAGACCGCGCATGACTTCCCCTTTGGATTTGTCCAGGTATGTTAGTACTCTTTTATTTTAGTGTTTAATTTTACAATAGAGTAACAAGTACAGATAACAAGACATTTGAAAATTAAACACTCAAAATAGTGCAGGTCTTAGAGTAAAAATAATCTGATTTAGGCGCCCTAGAGATAGCAACAAAGAAAAGACTGTGGGTAAGGGTATTCTAGATCTAATCGATGATTTCTTTGTACTTGCAGCTGTCCACCTACCAAAAAGGCTCCACAGATTACGGCTTCCCAAACATTCGCTGGCACCAGACAGCAGACACCGGCTTTGTCCCAAACCCACGGATGAAGAAAACCTTCATGGCTGTGGCTATGGATTTACCAGATGAAACCTCGCCCTATGGCAGGTAAGGATTGTGTTTATATGTACTGATAGCACGTGAAATCATTACACTGTGCTCATACGGTACCTTTGGTGTGATTAACAAATGGCACCACATCAGGACATGCAGGGATTGTAAAGAAAGTCTGTGTCACTTGACGTGCCAGTTACCCTGCTGACAGGAACTGTGTCCATCCAAGGTAATGTGTATTATATACTGAACACATCACAATTCCATGTTAAACTAACTCTTAAGGATATAATATCTAACATTTCCACATTGAAATGTCTAAAAACACTAGACCTAAGTTATATATTTTACTGAGTTGTGCACTTATATTCCAACCACAGATATGTCATTTTATTCTGGTAAAGGTGCGTATCACCGGTCGCCTGGCAATGGTATATCATATCTCCTTTGTGCATGTGTCAGCTGTCATAAATTGACTTTTCATCCAGTTATCAGCCACATTTTTACAACAAACAACAATCAAAGAGTTTTTATATTTTAACCGGATGAAGGATTTTCATTGGACTTCAGAGAAACAAGCTGAGCTAATGTTAGCAGCAGCTTGCATGCAAAATCTCCTTGTAGTCGGTCTAATTTGAGAGGTGTGGTATTGTTAATTTAACTACTATGACAGGTTTCACCTGATTTCACTGTACAGTATATTTATAAAAATGTGCTGCTGCAATAGTTTTAATTGGAGCAAAGAGCTCAAATCTCACCTGTTCAAATGTTTCTGCTCAGTTGGTCTTTGGATGGAGTTTAAGATCCTTGTAAACATCTATAAAACTTTTCATGGACTTGCCCCGATATGCTGCCAAGACACAGTAAGGCCCTGGCATAATTCTCACTTCAACAGACTTTCTTAATGTACCAAAAACTGTAAGACCAACAGGCAAACAGCTTTCAGCTTTTTTTGTCTTCATTAAATGTGATTATGTGTCCTGATTTTGTGTTTCCAAGAGATGAGCTGCTTTGTTTACTGTATTGACTTTCATCCTTATGTGGCCTTACCAACTGGTTCATCCAGGATGTTTGTTAGAGTGACATGTGATTTTATTTTTGTTTCAGTATCCATCCCAGAGACAAGCAAGATGTAGCCTACAGACTGACTTTGGGAGCAAGGGCAATAGCTTACAATGAGAAGGACGTGCTCTTCCTTGGACCTTTCCCCAAACAAATCCTGTCCACTTATAAATATGTCAACATCACCTACGACCAGACGGTCTCTGTCACACCGTCCAAAGACATCTTTGAGGTAAGGCTGGTATAGTCTGTGAGATTCACCTGCAGCGTTTGTTAACAATGTAAACACAAAGTCACCATTAAACAACCATTAGATGTAGTTGATGTTTTTTCTGATAATGAACTAATTTCTTGCTTAAATAAATAAAGAAGCTCTAATTTTCACCTGTTTGTCTTTTTATTATTTTATTAAGATCTGTTGCTCGGGTACAAAGGCTCCATGTGAGTCCAAGTCTCCTTGGGTCCCAGTTCCCATCATGCAATGGGGTGTGACCACTGTCCTGTTACCCAATTTGTGTGGCGGTGAAGCGGCTGCCCTCCGATATGCATGGACAAACTGGCCCTGCGACTTCAAAGCCTGTCCAATCTACAGCCGCAGTAGGATTTTACCTGCACCTCCTTTTATCATCTATGCAGCCAAAGGAAACATTTGGAAAAGTTACTGAACCAGTAACTGTAAGAAGCAAAGTGATAAAAAAAAAAGGTGTACTTTTTGTTTCTTTCATGTCAAAATGAGCTGATTGGACAGACATGAAGCCAGATCGACCAGACCTTAAGTTCAACAAGGCAATTCATGACACTGTGGTGATGAGCCTTGTAGTTAATATTAGTCTGCTTTTCACCGATATAAAGGCACTGATAAAGTATTAATTTAGCCATAAATTCTTGGAGGGGTGGATGGGTTATTTGGTTTGATTGTAAGATTGTTTTGATTAGTTTGGTTAACAATAACCAATCATTCAATTTAAAAGATCAGTCTGTCTGCTAAACCACTGAACATGCTTACTGAACTAACTTACTTAACCCTGGGACAGATATATGGCTATATATAATTTTGGTTACACTCCTGTATACACTCTATGCTGTTACAACCACTGTCAATAATTGCTGGACTGTATGAATGTAGACAAGTATGACAAATGTGTATTTTTATTTGAACAAAACTGGATTTTGAAGTTTACAACACAAATGTGTCTTTTTGAATTGAAAAAAATTTGCACAAATAAAAGACAAATCCACAACTAAGTTTGTGTGGATGTGTTACATTAAAAGCCAAGGCTTTTACTTCAAAGTAAAACAGATGGAAATGCGATGAAATTACTGATTAATCAAACAAAAACTGTAATGTCTTCTTACAGCAACTTTGAGTAGCATACTAACAGTTAAATACCATTGCTGTAGTGTGCCATGTACCAAAACCTGAAAGCATAATAACCATTTTTTAAGTTTTTCTTAGCAATTATGAAAGTATGTTATACTAATTAAATTTTAGACATAGTTACAACTTGGATACAATTTCTGAAATCCAGCACAGATATTTATATACACATAGTGAAGCATGTCAGTATAGAGTTGTTGGGTTTATGGTGCTATTGGCACGTTAAGCATAAAGCTAACTCACCAACCACATTCAGTATATTAGTTTCCTGAATTATTGAACCAGGAAGGAAAATGGGAGAAAAAAAACCCAAACATTGTAGGCCTTGTAAATAAGAGTAAAAGTTCACAAGGATACTGTGTGACCTTGAATTCAGCGGTGCTTTTAGAATCAGGAGCTGAAATATGAGGTAGAGGGCTTTATGGTGGAGCTGGTCAGGAGGTGCTGATGAGAGGAGCTGGGAGACTGCGGTGTCTGTCCTAAAGAAAGACAGATCGGTAAAACTCTGAGTCATCATCATGTCAGCATTAGACAATGCACGAGATAACAAAAATAGAAGTACTATAAAATGTCTGGCATTTCAGCCATACTTTTACTTTGAAATCCTAATACTAACATACTGTGACTCCTGTAAGGGGGTACACTTTTATTTTTCAGCTAACCTAGCCACTTGATATGTTATTTACAGTGGAGGCGCACACACACACACACACACACACACACACACACACACACACACAGTTGTACTGTACACGCAGTAATCAAGGTCCTGTAAATGTAACAGGCATAACAAAACAAAACAGGTAATAAACACTACAGCTAAGCTAAAAACATTGCTAATAAGAAAATGTGATATTTAAGCAACCTGTCATGTGCTCCGTCTTGATGTTCTCATCAAAGCCCCGGTGTCTCTGGTAGGCCTCAAAGTTGACAGAGGCATCGTCCTCTGATAGGCTGTGAGGAACCTGGCCATCACCAGGGCGGCACACCTCAAAACGTATCCACCTGTAGCTAAATAGAGTAAAGAAAAGATGTCTGTTTATAAAGAAATCTAAACTCCTAGTGAATGTAAGCCGTCTGAACTTGCGTATATTGACACATGATACTTATATGAATCATGCCCTGTAAGTTGATGCATATTGTCAAAAAGGAAATTCAATTAACTGCAAAAAATGTTCAATATGTTATTTTTCTGCTTCAGTTTACTGCATAGAACTGGTTAAATAAAGACTAGATACACACTTCTCCACATTTCATGCTTGTCCCAAAGTTACCATACTACCTACAGTACATTATGTTCTTGTTTTAGTATTGAAAACAAATATTCTTATTCTTAGTCAGAAGAGATGTGAAGTGCGTGTTGTGTATTGGGGCTGATAATCCATTTTCAGTGAGACGGGTGAATTTACTTGCTACATTTGCGTGCTCCGGGACAACTCTGGATGAGATTCTGGATGGTAGGGTGTGAGAAGCCAAAGAAGTCAGCTCCTGATGGCACGATGGGCGCCACAGACTTGGTACTAAGAGAAGGACATGTTGAAAGACTTCAGATTAAGTCAGAATTAAAAAGTGATCCAATACATTTTTAGACATATGGTAGACTTTTTCTAACACCAAACCTCAGAGCACAAAACCTTTGTATTATTTGATCATTTATGCCAAATACCCAACCACAGCCAATCCAAGCCTTTGTGGTGAACTTTAGTACCTGACAGATGCAATGGCTTTCAGCAGATTGGAGTGGCATGTCAGGGCAGAGGAGGCCACGATGGCGTTCTGAGGATCTTCTTCAGGCACGATCTCAAACTGGGAGGACAAAATTGGATTGTATGTGTCAGTAAAGTTTATTCAAAACCACTGAATTTCATTCATAGCATCTCAAACTTAACTAAACAATTTAATCGATAACAGTTATCAGTTAAACATTTTATTGATTTTTATTTTAAAAGATTTTCTTTAAATACTGAAAACGACGAGGTAATATGATGATGGACATTTTGGCAAACTGGACTAATAACAACTGTGTGTGTGTGTGTGTGTGTGTGTGTGTGTGTGTGTGTGTGTGTATGTGTGTGTGTGTGTGTGTGTGTGTGTGTATGTGTGTGTGTGTATGTGTGTGTGTGTGTACCTGTGGACCTGTTCCCCCATCCTTGATTTGGCAGGTGTAGAGGCACTGCTGGTCAGGGCTTTTCATGCTGGCAAAGACCCGTGTGCTGCAGAAGCCCACTGGGTAGATGGCACACTCATCATGGAACAACATCCTGTCTGTGATGATCTGGAGAGCAGTCAGACGTTGGCATTTGGTAAAACACATTTCGTGGGTAAGTGTCAGATTTCAGAGAGGCTTTCACTCTACCAACATTTTGTTGTGTTACAGATTTAATGTTTATTTATTGAACCGCCGTCTGATGTATTGTTTAACTAGTCACAGTTAAGATAACAGCATGTGGGACTCATAATATTAGTGACCATGGTGATAATAAAGCCATAACACTGACCTCTCCCAGGCTGTAGACTGTTAAACCTCCCAGTACGATGGGAAATACAGGACGACCAGATGAGTCCAGAGGGATGGGTTGCACCAACTTCCGAGACCCATCTGCGAGTTTTCTCTTCTTGGACATCTTCTTTGGAACTGAATGAAACATGGGAGAATAAAATAATGGGCCAAAGATGAACGTAAACCGTTTAAATTCCATCTATTTTCACTATGCATTTACATTAATACTCACATTCCTCCTTTCCATTTTCCCTGCCTCGCTCTTTCCTTTCCTTCTTTGGTTTTTTAAGAGGTCCGTCCTCCCCTATTGACACCATTGACCCCAAGTTATGCCCCCCAGACAGGCCTGAAGCCCCTGCAGGACCTGAAGCCAATGCCACAGGCGGCACAGGCGGATGAGAGCTTGAGCTAGGTGTTGGCAGAATCTCCCCATCTGACAAAGACTGGTACTGCAACAGTGACTTCAGTAAAAACCTGGAAATTAAAATGTATGTAAATGTGAAGGAATTATTTCGTTGTTGTGTTTTTTTGGAGCCCCGTTATTAAGCATCACAAAAGCCCATCCACATCCGTAATATATATGGAAATACATGCACTCACCTCCGCTCCTCCTTTGCCCTCAGAAACTTCTCTTCTAAGTGGGCAACTTCATCACAGAGAGCGGCATTCTCCTGTGATTAACAATCACTCTTTACATTATCATATGCCATACAACACATATGCATGATGTAAAAGAAAACCTGCAATAAGCTAGTCATAGTTGTTGGGGAATTGATAGTTCACTCACAAATATCATGGCTCGGGCAGCCTTGCGCAGTCTAAGGTACTTCAGGCGGTACTTTTCGTTCTGGTTTTTCCGTTGACCTCTCTTCATCTTGGTCTTATGCTCTGAGGAACTGGTGGGGGAGGGGAAGGCGGGGGCCGAGGCACCTGAGCCAGAACTGGAAATTGTATTCTGCTGCGGAGAGCCGAGGAAAGACTGGGCAGTGAAGGCCTGAAGGACCTGCTGCCGCTCCTCATCAGTCTGTGAAAAGTCAGGGGGAGGAAAAGACAAAGGTCTGTTCATATGGACCAGGAGTACCTGAGACTAATACTTGAGTTGCCTTCAGGATGATAGATGAGAATACAGATGATAAAATAACACTGATGGAGCTTACACTTAAGCTTCTGTATGACAAACAATGAACGTTACTGAAAACAAAATGTGTCAAAACTGTGTCAAAACTAAAGAGTTGTGCTCTGAAATTGTCTTTGTGAGAATTCCCCTTTATTATTCTTTTCATGCTGAAACACAAATCCTGCTTACTTTGGAACTCAGCTTTTATGGTGTGAGCATGTGTACTATAGTAGTTATTATATGGGCTTATTAGTACAGTAAAGTACTGTAACTATAATTAGATATGAGGAATCTCTACTTTATAATTCTGCTCTTTTGGATCCTTGCATTGACTTTAATTACAGGACAAAAATAGCAGATATATGACATTACACCCATTTATCAGATTGTCAGATAGAACTGAATCTCCACTGCAAAAACCAAACCACTCTTAAGTATGTTGAAATGTAATTTTCAAAATAAGTAAATTGAGTCTTTATCATAGATCTGTACCAGGCAGTGATAATTATCAAACAGCAGTTTTAGACCCAGATCGTACCTCAGTATGTATCCATGACCAACAGTCATTTTCAGTATCCCATAACATATTTGGGTTTTGTGTAACATTGGCATTAGTGTCCCATATAACTCACCAGCAGTGCAAAGACTCCGTTTCTGTTCTCAATCCTCTTGAATCTCCTGCTGCCTTTTTGTGTCTGAAACATAATGTGAGACTGAGGCCAATGCATGGGGCTGGAAAAGCCAGATTTGATTGCCAAAAGCTGGGGGTCAATTTAGATTAATTCCACCATTATTAGATAGAGCAGTTCAGGGCTTCTGCATCTGAGCACAGAGCGTCCTTTGTTTGGATTACAGCACGTAAGTGTCTGCCTCTAGTTAAAATTGTGAAATAAGGTCAAAAAAGCAGAATGGAAAAACATGGAGAAAGAAAAAAATAGCAACAGAAATACAGATGATTGCATGTTCTGTATCAACTTAACTCACAAAAATGCAGATGGAGGTGCAGGTCATTATAGTGAACAGCAGAGGTTGCTGTCAGACTAACTCTTAAACATCATCCTTACCTCACGGTACATGACAGCCTCCAGGCTCGACTTTGCACTGCCAAGGAGAGAACAACAACATCACAGGTTTGCAGTCTACTTCAGAAATTAAGACAAACATTAGGCTCCAGTGTGCTTTTTAGTGTAATAAGCCATCCTCACTGTTTCAAGATCTGGCTTAACGTCAGCAAATGAGCAATAAAATGAGTAGTAAACTGAGATGATTGCTGTACTTGGATTGAACGAGTCCCCTGTCGATGATTCTCTGTTTAATCTCCTTTATGTGCATGGGACGTCCAGCTTCTTCCAACACAATCTATATGAGAAGAAGGAGAAACACTTACCAAACAAGAAATCTCACAGCACTCGATAAATGTTATTAGTAACACTAAACACCAAAGTAGAAGAATAAATGGCAGATACCTGTGCAGCATCGAGCCATGTGAGGTTTGGCTTCTCTGCAATTTCATTAGGTGGTTCGCTGCAAAAACAAAAAGTTTAGTATCATCCAGTGTGACATTATTTGATCTACTGGTACTGAAAGTTCTTACTTATAAATTTGAAATACAATTTATTGGCCCCAAACAGGGGACCCTGCTATTACCCAGTAATGTCCCATTCCCCCACAGGATAGCGAAGACCTGACCCCCCCCCCTCCATCCCCAAACTCTATCTCTGAAAGAGTTTAACCTCGGCCATACAGCAATGATAGCAATCATACATACACACTTGTTAAAAAAAATACTATATATATATAAATATAAATATAAGTTATATTCTGAATTGATTCCCTGTAATTTGGGCACATCTATATGGATGAGATGCTCCTCACTGCAGCAGCCCCACTCTGTAATCTGAATGGATGTATTAAATCTGGCACCATTACAAGCACCGAGGCTACACTATCTAAAGTATGACACAGTAATTACATGTTTTACAAAGTACTTTCAAACAACCTCTCCAAAGCTTCAGCCGTCCCAGAAAGACTCGCAATGCTGTCCAGAGCAGGAAACAGAGAGTAGCTCCCCTGACCGTCAGCCTCCATCTCAGATTCAAACGTGTTGAGTGACTCCATAAGAGACAGGGGCCTGCTGGGAGAGGAAACATTAACAACACATTTCTTATCTGTTTATCTGTCTCAGGTAGCTCATACACTCAGCTGGAATAACACCAGCAACACTGAGACTGTAACGTTAAGCAAGGACACACACACACACACACACACACACACCTGCATATTCTGCTACAGTGTCGCTAGCTAACACTTGCTAACGGCTCACTAATAACACAATTTACAAGAGCAACGATTAGCTAGGAGCAAATAGATACATTACACACACACACACACACACACACACACACCTCAATGAAACTGCAGCAAACCAGCAAACCCACTTCTTTCAGTTTGTGCTCCGGATTGTTTGTTTCCGTGTGTCACGCGGAACCCTCCGTTGTCGCATTGTTTACAAACCGAGTGGCTAAATGCTAACGCTAACCAGCTAGCAGCAGACTCCGCTGTGATACTGCTACAATGTACGGAATTATATGACAATAATATGGATCAAAACGTGAGTATAGAAGAGGGGAAAAAAGCATATTGATCAAGGAGAACGATAGAGAGAGTGGCTTACGCCGGACAGTTTCAAAGGGGGATACCTTAACCGGATATCCGGTGTAGTTCGTTTCGCTCAGAGTCAGAAGATGTGTTTGTGAAATTGACAGCATGTTAATGTTACATTACAAAATACCAATTTTAATGTTTACAGCTGCCGACTCAATGTGGAGTTTTAGGTGGAAATGGCGTTAAAATAAAGCTCAGTATGATGTTTAACTCGTTAAATGATCTCCAGGTTAAACTATGTCAAAGATTTACCTGTAATTTTTTTTTTTTTTAAATTGTATTTTAAGTGTGTAAACTTTCTGCTGATCCCAAGTTTATAAAAGTTTGTTTTCCCCAATCTTTTCACGTATAATTTGTTCACAGATTTTATTTATATGTTCAAATTTCAAAAACAGATTTTTTTTTCTACATTGTTTCATATGCTAAAATGTTTACTGGTCGTTATTTACAGCCATAGATAATGAAATAACTCAGTGAACTAAGAGTTTGTGACATGTTCTGATTAACATCTGACTGTAACACAAAAAACAAACCAAAAGTCTGAATCAATGACATAACGTTATGGCCTCATCTGTGAAAAATGGCACAAGATGTTGTAATCAGTGAATCTATACATTGTTTCTGTGATACAGGGACACATTTCAGTTCATAATCTAAACGGGTTGTATTTGCTCTTGCATTATTCTTTAAGTGTTCTTATTTAAGTCATTGTAAGTAATTGGCAGTAATAGTTCCTCCTCCTCAGGTAGCATCACACTAACTGTGTCTCTGAATTCCTTGTCATCCAGGTCTCTAAAAAGCATGATTCATGTTCTTCCATCCAGGTTTTGGTGTTTACTACTGTATGTAGAGGGTCCTGCCATAGTTCACATAGTGTCCATACACCACACTCACACTCAACAGTCAAAGGACACTGTGCTGCTCCAGCAGATGGTAACTGTTATCTGAAAAACTCTCTTTACGGTCAAGATAACTCTCAAAATCCCATTTTCTTTAATTAGATTTTCTGTTTTTCCTCTTTCTGGCACCTGCAGTGTTTCCAAATAATGTTGTCCCTCACCATTAATTATTGCAAAATGACCTACAGTATGCGGTGCAGTCATAAATGTTGTGTGGTTGTTTTATGTACCGAGAACAACACACATATTACAAGAACATCTTGCGGAGCATGAATATGCCACACCTAAAACTTCCCACAGTGGAACAAAAAGTCCTTTGAATCTATGGATGACTGTCAAAAATGAGGTCAAAGTGAGCAAATTTGCAGAGAAATCAACTTCTCCAAACTAAATTACACTAGAATTATTGCCTTTTTCTGTCATTCTGTCGTTGTAGCAGGCAATAAAAGATTCAGCTTTCCCAATAATCTTATTTAAGCAGTTACTTCTTATCAGTCTTAAGACCACCAAAAATCACTAATTAAAGGGTTGATACATCCAAATCGAAAAAAAGTTTTTTCTCACTGTGGTAAATAGCCACGCAGGCAGCACTGGCTTTATCTGCTGAGGTTTTGAGATAGCCTACATGCCTACACGAATGTTGTTCTGATGATTATCTTGAGTACACTTGAGTTCACCTCCATTCCCTTTGGCTGGAAGCAGATATTTCAAAACCTGAGCAAAGGAAACCAAAACAACCTTCCTGACTGGACCATTAGAGGTAAGGGAGAATATATATATAGTATCTATTGCACCTCGGTTTGTTTTGTGCCTCAACCAGGATTGTACAATGTGTACACGTGCAACACTAAATTATAAAATCCCTAATTTAACCACGTACATGAAAACAGAAGTGACTCAGCTCTCTTTCTTTACTGTGTCTCCTCTCATGTGGCTGAAGTTGACCTAACAAGCCCTGTGGTCCTAATTCTAAAATTGCAGCATCCAGCAAAACACGGGAGCATTTCATACCATTGCAGTTCAAACATGATCAAGAGCAACAAAGGGCTTAAATTGTTTGCTTTTTTTTTTACTGTGTGACCCAAGTTAGTGTGTGCAAATAAGAATATTCTGCAAGTTGGGCCATGATATTGCCAGAGGGGTGGAGAAATAGCAGGGGAGCTCTTGTATAACTTCAGTTTAACATTTATTTGTAACCCTGTGTCCAGAGGACAACTTTTGACCCCTTATTTTACACCCAAAATTGTGCAGTTTAGCCTCAGTTAACATCTCCACAAGTACATTCATAATCAATACATTCCTTTGCAATTTCCTCACATAAACATTTTAAAGCAGGTCAAAGATTATTTACACAATTGATCAAATGATAAACACACTGCCCTTTGCCTTAGTTTGGCTGTTATTTGTTTTACAACCACAGTTAGTCTACAAAGTATCTGTCTCTGAGAACTGTTCCCCACTCCATACAAATATATAATGCTGTTATTCACGTGATCTTTTTCATGATATACATATATCTGTAGTTACATCATGGACATAGTTGACTCAATGTGTCTGTGAGTTCTCAGTAACAGTTGAGCCAGCCGTAGTTGAGCAATACGCGCATCACTCTCTTGTATGGCAAGTAGTACTCAATCTGTCTGGGGCCAGATGAGAAATATAGATATCCTGTGGGAGGGAAAACTCACGTTATATGCACATATGCAATTGAACTTGAGGTAGCGAAACAAGCTGCACTGACAACAAGCATTGACAACAGCAAACAACTTATCTTGCAGTCACCTTATAAAGTTCTTATAATAAACATGATAGCAAACAGTTGTCTCTATACATCCAACAGATCAACAGAGTAACATTATAATTCATTTGGAGCTGTGTTTCTAGTCACCTGATGAATGAATGTCCAACATTCACTCTCCCTTTAGTTCTGTTTTTGATCTCCAACTCCTGAGAAAATATCTGGCTCTTGAGCTGCTAAACACTCCACTATATTCACCAGCTAATCGCACACTTTTTCTAACCATTGTGTTGGACATAGAGTACAATGAGGGTATCAGTGCTTTTTGTTGCTGCCTGCTGCTGGAAACTAGGTTAATGGTGGCGGTAAGAGTGAACAACAACAGTGAAGTTGCTGCAAAGCCAAAATAAGGATAGGAAAAACGCTCCATAGGGTGGAACTTCTCTGTTGGCTTGTCACTACGAGACCTTTTACACAAAGTTATTTGATGAGTTGTTAAAGGAACCGTTTGCCTGTCCAAGAAAATGTCTACCACTTAACCTCCTTAAGTGGACGGAGCCAACCTCACTGTTTTCCCCTGCTTTCAATCTTTAAGCTAAGCTAACCATCTCCTTGCTGTAGCTTTATATCTAATGGACAGACATGATAGTGGCAATTATTTCCTTAGCTAACTCAGCATAAAAAGTGTCTGCTCACTGCAGAGCCAATTGGTGGAGGTTCACCTAGTCCAGCTCCAAATCTAGGTCCAGCCCCACCCCAAGACAGGAGGCCACGTCAGTTTGACAATGGGGAATACTTCTTCACAGGTTTTGTTGGCTCATGGTATCCTGGGGCTGAGTCAGCCTCCTGGACTGGGACCAAACACAGCCTCCAAGACCCACAGGGAATACAATACTGGTGATTTATGGACTATACAAAGAGATTTATTGCCAGTTAATGTAGTTAACCACTAACCGCTGCTAACATTAGGCTTGGTTAGCCATGCAACTAACTACAGTCAAAACTTGAACTCTGTGAATCACCTCCCAGTCCAGCCGTGTTCACTGAGAGGCTGCTGAACCTGATTCTGTTGCCCAGGCACGGACAGCTACAGTTAGCAGCAGTTAATGTTAGCAGTTAGCAACATGTAAGTTAAAGCTCTCCATCAGGAAAGTGTAAGTCAGAGATATCCATAAAATATGATCCAGTATCACCTAAATCAGTGGATAAAGTTATAAAGTTGTACTTTTGCACAGTCATCAGTGAGGCCCGGCCTCTAGGATGTTGAAGGCATGGCCTGCCCTACGCCTCTGATTGGCTTACCCTGATATTCTTACTATGATCCTAACCCATCTCACTCCTTATGATTAAACCTAACCAGCCCAAACAACAAAGGCAACAGGTACTAGCCAGTCAGGAGCAGAGTAGGGCAGTTCGTGCCTCGCCATAGTAGGATTCGGTCAAGTTGGACTACATAAGGTCCACCCATTAGGCTCTGCAGTGAGCACCACATGCAAAAAAGCAAATAAGCAAAACTCTCAACTATTCATTTGATATAGAAATACTGATTATGATGATCATTTTCTGACATTCTCACCAAAGGTGTCTCTCGATGTGCTGTGTGAAGTGGGTTAAATGAGTTAAGTGAATGACATTTCTCACCCATATTCTCAAAGGCTGCATCAACTTTGGAGCCTATGCCAGGGAAATCCTGAGAGATGGATCGTGGGTATCCCAAGTCCATTTGGTTTCTACCCTCATCATAGCTGCAAGAGAATATTACAAAATGCTTTGTAGTTATGTAGTCATTCCCAATACAGTACATATCTCAGTGATCTGTGTTTATATTCATTTTTATCTATTAAAGACCAAACACTAACCTCCAATACTGGTTATTCACAAAAATTAGTGTTTTTCTAGTACTTGGCACATATACAGCTGCATCCACCTTACTGACTGAAGAGGGGAGGCCAAGGCTGGTGATAGACTTCGGATAGCCTGAAATTATTGTCTTTGCATAAGCCTTTATGCCCCAGTATTGACTACCTGTAGAGAAACAGTTGGAGGTTATTATATCATGTAGTCACATGTATACCTTCACAGTCCTCGTTGAATTGAGTATATTCAGCATTCAAACCTAAAAAAATGCTGTGAACATTACCTTCAAAAAGATACACCGCATCCTTGTATGAGACTTCAAAGGCGGCATCCACGTATTGGATTCGTGGCCATTTTGTGTTCACTCTAATTAGACGGATACCTTGGAATGTTGTGCTCTTCCTCCAATAGTAGCTAGTAAGGATTTGAAATGTAAATCTAAGATGTATTTACACGTGTCCCACCTAAAAAAGATGATCATCATGTTCAAAATGTACCCATTTTTGAAGAAGAACAGGTCTCCCCAGATGGAGGTTGCAGCGTCAAACACCAGCTCGCGGCTGCACTGCTCATCTCTGGGGTTGGGCAGAGGGTCTGGGTTTGGATCCTCTGTTGGGTCCTCTGGCTCTGGTCCGGGCTCTGGTCCAGGAGGTGGTTTAGGTTTTGGTGCTGTTGTTGGCACTGGTGTACGGCTACCTGGAAGATGGATTAGCAAAGTCCAATGTCACCAAACTATGACCTTCAGTCATCACATCGACATAAATAACAAAAAGATACTTTTAGAACCTTTTTTTTTACATTTATTTATGCTTGGACTGTTTAGTATCAGTCTAGCTGTCAACAGTATGAACCACAATGAATATGAAATGGATCCAGTTTAATTATCATGCATTTTAATTGAAGTTGAAAATTGCAATCCACAGCACAAGGCATGCATTCATAGGTCAGCTGTTTACTTGTTCAATAGAAGATTCATGTATCTCAGATAAAGCCAAATTTTAAGTTAAAAAATTCAGCTTGGCTTTCACTTTGCAATATCTCGACTGATCATTTCAATGGAAGTCACCATAATTGTGTCTGACATTATTGTGAATCATTATATGGATGTTTTTGCTCACCATAGAGGGCTTGAACCCCACGCCTGTCATCATCTGGCAGCCTGTATCCATTTGTGTTAACGTATTTATAAGTGGGGAACATGAGTGCTCGTCTGTCCCTGGAGTGATCCAGGCCCAGAGCGTGGCCAAACTCATGGGCCGCCACCAGCAGCAGATTCACACCTGAGCACAACAATTACAACAAATCCAGTCAGACATATTTTATTTTATATACAGCATACATTTGCTTTTTCATATTTTCATCAATGGTCGAATTCAGCAGATTTACAGCATTTGAGAAAATGTGATGAATATATAGCCTTTATTTCTTCCTCCGCTCAGAGTGTGTTTACCTCTTTGGGTAAGAGTCCAGGTTTCATCATCATCAAAGTGTGTGTCTCCTCCCTGATTCCGTCCAGGAGAGTTAGCATGTGCCAAAACTCCACCCGCCCCATCAAAAGGGTAAAAGTCCCCGTGATCTGCAATAGCACAAAGAAGATGAAGCAATTTATAGTATCAAGTGTAAGTCTACAATTGCTGTAAAGATCAGCAGGTGTCACAGATTCAAGTATGTTTAAGAAGAAAAAGATAAGACTGATCTCACAACTTTGCCTCACAGCATGACCATAGACTCTTGTCTTGTTATTTTATTTACTAGTAGAAGTTTAGTCTGTGTTTTAAAACCCTCTTGATAATCCAGACTTACAGCCGCCCTTGAAGAGGATCATGATGTCCGCAGTACCGCTGTAGACCTGTTTAAAGTCCAGTGGGATGACGTCGCTGTAGAGCTGGAAGGCCTGAGCAATGGTTGCATCCACCTGACTCCGGGTCAGATCTGGAGTATACTGAGTGATCCTGTTCAAATCAAATTACACAGTACATTGGTAATATCACCACCACCATCATCTTTGAGTGATGTTTACACATTGAACCACAAAAAGTAAAAATTTACACGACTCATTGACAATATTAACATGTGTGTAACTTCCAGTTACCGGTATGTGATTAGCCTTTTCTGCCATCTGGGTCTCCCAGCGAAGTGTCCATATCGGCTGATGTCTGACACACCACACCGAGGTGCCTTCATCACCTCAGCAGTCTCATTATTCAAGACACCAGTCACCTGGTGGTCAGAAGAGGATATGAGGTAGAGATTCTTTAGGTGAGTTGGGAAAAAAGGTTGAGACTTTGCCATTTGCCATATGATTTATAATCTGAATCCTTTGATGTTATTAGCCATCATTTCTTTGACTAAACTCTTTTTCATTCATTGTAATTACCTCCAGGCCAAAGAAAGCCTGCATGGCCTGTAGATCCTGGCTGAAGGTGTTCTCCTTGATGGTTCGTGTTGAGGAGTTTTTCACCCCAACGTCAGAGTAGAACTGAGTAAGGTATCCCTGATATCAGAAGAACATAGATGACTTTATTTCAGGCGAATCATATTTCATTTCATAAGCTTATTTCCTGTCTACACATTCTGAATTTAAAGACTTAATTTGCAGCCTGTCCCCACTCTGATTTTCCTAATCACTAGAGTGGCTTTGAATGCAAGATGTATTGTTAGTCTGCATTACCTCAGCCAGGTCTTCTTCCTCTGGTGAAATTGTTGGAGCAATGGTAGGTGCTGTGCGACACAGGGCTATACAACCCAGCAGCAGCACTATCCAAAGACCAGTGAGAGGCATCTTGTTAAATTGTTTCCTTTGTTCCATCCACTCTCCTCTTATAAAGACAGCCTTGACGGCCTGAGGCCAAAAAAGCTGAATCAGAGTACGCAGTGTCCTCTTGTGCATTCCAGTATATGTATAGTCAAGGGAGGAGGGGAGTAAATAGTGGCCCCTCTGATAACACAGCCGCCCCTCTGATCAGTTTAACTTATATACTGATAATACATTTATGGAACAGTTTAATTGTTCTTTGTTCTGTTCTCACCTTTGTGTTTTTCTTTGAATGAGACGCTTTCATGCTCTTCTTAAATTGTTCCACGTTTATGATTTACCTTCTGATATGTTTATGTCACTTGTCACATGCTCAAAGTTTAGTAAACTAGGCAAGAGTATTGAGTAAAATATACCGTAGACGTATGTGTTTCATCAACCAAAATCAAGCACTGAGCTACAATAGTGAAGAGCATCTTAATTAAATGAGACTGATGTGCTTCTTTTGCCCAGTTTAAATTATGGTGTTTGGTGAGAAAACAACAGGAACAAACTGTCAGTGACAAATGGAAACATGGCCAAGCTATAAAACTGGGACCTGAACAGCAACAAACAGCCACTCTGTCAAGAAACAAATATGTTTGCCAACATCTTGCTGTTCTCAGTGTTCTCTTGTACTTATTGATAACCCTTTATGTGACCACAGTCCAGTTTGGTGGGTAAACATGAGCACGACGTGTGCAGTATCAACTAGGTACTGAAGTCCACTGACTTATTTGAGCTAATCACAGTGTAAGGCCTCATTTTTTGCAGAGAGAATGAGCGTGCAGCAATGGTGGAGGGTGGTTTACTCAAGTACTTCTTACGGTACAATTCTGAGGTTCTTGTACTTATGATGCTACTTTGTACATTTCCAAGTGAAATGTTGTAGTTTTACTTCACTGCATTTACTTGAGAGTTATTGGTTACTTTGCAGATTCAAATTGTCAAAACCTATGATGAGCATCTAAAACATAATGCATTAAACAACCCAATAGTTCATAAAGCCTTTGAAATAAGCTTTGGTTGAAACACCAAAATGCTGCTTACATCTTTAATATAATCCACTTGTATAATACATGATAATGCAACACTGACAGGGACCATTTGCCTTCATGCTGAGTTTTACATTATTATTAGAGTGCATTGTATTAATGCACTTTATAATTATAATTTAAGTTGAATTGTGAATGCAAGACTTGTATTTTTAACCTGGGGTATTGATACTTTTACTTACTATAAGTAAAGAATCTGAATACATTCTTCCACTACTACCTTGGAGAGTAAAGATGAAAGAAGCATGTTGTACAAAAACATCTGAGACTGATGAAGAAAAATGACTTTAAGAATTAAACTTTTCTTTCACCCCTTAAAGTCATGAAGGCCTTGCAACCCCCACCCCTAGTGAGGGTCCAGACCATAGATATACATAATAAAGGCTAGATGTCTTACGGCGGAGTCTCTAACGTCATCACCGGCGGCCATCTTGTCACAGGCAAGCTTTCTGGCGGGCTCTGTGGTACATGATGTGATGAGTGATCTGCACGAACACAAATACTCTTATCTCGCTGAAATCTTGACGGATTTACAAGCGGTTTGGTTTCTTACAAACGTTATTAACGTGGCTATGATGCTGGATGCTTTTTTTATATTCATAAGTATGCAGTGTCATAACTACATCTCTGTATATAATAAACCAAACCGTTTGAAAATCGGTAGAAAATTGAGCAAGTTATGGTTATTTAAAAAGTACATGCACCATTAAAACACAATGTTACGACTGAGCGAGCTGACTGTGGCAAGATGGCCACCAGGTGCGGACGTCGACCTCCATTGGCCAGCAGCACGGACGAGACATCTAGCTTTTGTTATGTATATCTATGGTCCAGACCCCCTGGTTGGGAACCACTGCCCCCCTCTGGCTACCCAATGATTTTTTTTCTAGATGCACCCCTAGTTTAGGTATATTCAATAAAGTAAACTTCCTTCTGATCAAATGTCTAGTATTTTCATAGTCAACAAAAGCATCTGAGATTGTTAAAGAAAAGTTAAATTTTATTGTGGTCAGTTTAATAAAAAGCATCTTGTTTTTACATATTCAAATTTACAACATAGTAAAACGTATGCTATCTATGACTCTAATTATTTTTAAAGTGGTATTTAGTATGCTGAATTGAATGTACATTCTGAACCCACATCTAAGATACAAACTTTTAATGTCCACAATATTTCAAACGCTTGATATTCACGTTGTCCTCATACTTTACCTCTTTGCATGTAAGATATAGCCTATAAGGTGCCATTTTACCTGAGAGGGATGTCAGATAATTTACATACAAATATACAAATGCCCCAAAAAACCAAAACAGTTCAGTCAAATACATAATGTTACATAATTATTATGTCAGTTGAACAATTATATCCTTTCCTTTCTCATCATTTCTCATTTCAGAGTTCCTGTATATCTATAAAAGGATGTATTCTCAGTAACTTGCCCACCATCGCATTAACATCCGAGCCAGGAATTTGCTGCAATTATATTCACCACCTTGTTTCGTTTGAAGTCATACTGGTAGGATTTTGCTCCACTGAAGAGGAAGATGCTACCTGTAAACAGAGCATCATACAAAAAGTGTGTTATGCCCTCATGCTTTTTCAAAACACATGAGATGAAATGTGAACAACAAGGTTTAGCTGTAAACAGTAGATTCCTACATTGTTCTAAAACTGGGGAAAATGGTGTTTTCAGAATAAAAGTGTGTCCAGTGCGGTAAACCCCACCAGTCTAACACGGTAAAAAACAAGAAATTACAACTTCTATTTCAGTTTAATTCTATTTGTGTCCTGCTGCTCAGGTCCACATTATACAAAGTTCATGACCATAAACTGTAACAGGTTTTTCTCTCTCGCTCGCTCTCTCTCCCTCTCTTTTTTACCATGTAACTTAAAGGCAGCATCAACCCTTCTCGGGATTCCAGGCCAGTCTGTTTGGATGAGTCTGGGGAAGCCGGGGTCCATCCTTCTTCTGCGTTCATCATACCTGAGATTGGATCATTTAAATAAAACAATTAAACCATTACTACAGGGCACATAACACTCTTTCATCCAGTTCAATTTTTTAATTTGCTGTTTGGGTTAGGGGGTGATCTAGATCGGTGGCATGGGGTGTTAGTTTCTAATTTAACACACCTAATTAAGATTAAGATGTGTTAAAAAATTAAAATGAATTGAATGATCTGTTATGGACACAGGTTAGACTAATTGATGGCTTGAGTTAAATGAAAAAAGACATGCATTTGGAAAAATGTATTAAGATTCTATTCAATGCTTTACTGTGTGCCACAATAATATAATGTTTTTGAGTTTAAATATCTTCATTTGGGGTGTTTTCCAAGCAAATATTGATCAGCATATATTTCTGCCATTTCTCAAAGTATTTCTCTAGATCCATCACCTAGTTTATTACAGACAATTCAATAGAGTAAACTTCCTTCTCATGAAATGTCTAGTAATAATGTACACAAAATGATTTACATTGAATGGACATTATAGGTGCAGTGTAGATATTAATAATGTATATATTAATACATTTTGATGGGTACATTTTCCTGTTGATTGTGTTAGTGTCTTTTTTTTTCATGTAAAAATATATGATCAAAGCATAGAATTATTTAAAATGTGAAGCAGGTTGGCACCAAATAAAGTTACCTGTAATAAACCTCTCCTATGAAGAAGACTGTTTTCCCATATTCACTGACATGCACGGCAGCGTCAACCTGCCGGACTCTGGAGGAGAAGCCGTACTCATAGATGGAGCCAGCATGACTTTTCATCTTAAGCTGTTGAACCACCCAGTACTTATGACCTGGAAAAACACAGCCGTGTCACTGCATTTTAGGACACTATGAAAAACAGCTACATACCACAAGCACTGCCAAATTCAATGAGCCTCTTGCATGAACAGCGACACTTAAGTTGCACAAGGCTGTAATTTGGGTGCAACCTTGTGTTCTCCAGCTGGAAATCCAGCCTTGTCATGCTGACAAGGGCTAAGTGATGCTTTGCAGACTGCCCATTACTCTACCATTGAATATGTACGCCACGCCTTTGGCAGGGATGTCATAAGCGGCATCAACATGAGAACTGATGCTCGGTAAATATGTGCTGCTATGGCTCTCTCTCAGGCTATTCCAATAAGTTGTCCGTGTTGTTCTCATCCACATGTACCTGTAGGTTAAAACAATACACAGACTCAGTTGCAGCTCAAATACACTGAGCACACTTACAGTCATAATTGTGTACAACATATTGTACCTGCTTTTAAAGAAAACAATCTCATTTTCAATCATAACTGCTGCATCTAAAGAAAAGTTGGGGTCACACTTTTTGGGGACTGGTTGTGGTTCCACAGTTCTTGTAGGTTTTCCTGAGAAACATTGGAACAGAATATATTAATATAACATTTTGGGTTATGGTGCACTATTCTCTAATTCTTTTATTTCCATTTTGTGCAAACATTCCTTATAAATTTGTTCCTCACCGTACAGTGTCTGGATCCCAAGCACATCATCTTTGGATAGAGAGTACTGTGTACTGCTGTGATACCTGTAGTTGGGGTACATGATAGCAGCGGGGTCTCTTGAGTGGGCCAAACCGAGTGAGTGGCCAAGCTCATGAGCTGCGACAGCGAACAGACTGTAACCTGAAATACAATGACAAGTCCTGTTAGAGCTTTGGACAGGTCAGTTGACGCGGAATCACACTGAAAACCGTTGTCTGTGTGTTTGAAACATTCAGGGATGATACACTTTTGGCCTCACCCCTATGATGATGTCACAGCAGGTGTTTTTTTAGTCAGCTGTCAAATGCAACACCTGATACTGATCGGGGTGTAACATGTTCAGCGTTTCAGCTTCCAAAGAGCAGCTCAACAGCTGTTTGCTACCACTTGTGGTTCAGAATTGACATTGTCAACAAACGTATTCAGATCCTTTACTTAAAGCAGCAACAAGGAACTTTCATTGATTGATTGATTGTTGATCCCTGAGGACAAAAGTGGTAGTGTCATTTCAATTCAATTGTCTCACTGATTGTATCTTTTGCCTATGTATGTCATACAGAGGATGAATCAGTGTGAAATTCAGATTGTTCATAATGAGTTAAAAATACTTTGTAGTAGGTTTGTAAGTACAATAAAAAAAATTAAAAAAGACAGGAAATGGGAGGAAATTAGGGTTATATTATTATATATCATATACTGAATAATTTATATCATATCATATTGATCTATTCATGTGTTGATGTAAAAGTGGTTTAACTTTATAACAATGCAGCAAATCATGATCTTTGTAGATAGAATCTTAACATACAAAAAAAAATACATGTGGAGTAAAAAGTGCAACATTTACCTCAAATGCAGTGGAGTAGAAGTATAAAGTACTATAACATTGAAATACCATCAAAAAAGTCTTAATTCACTTCACATTTCACCACTGATAACTGATTTACTTTTTGTTTTAGGTAGTCTGTTCTTTCGCTTTGTAGGAAAATGTGAATTACCCTCAAAAAGAAGTATGAATGAAGTCTGAATCCTAGCCCACAGGATAATCTTTAATTTGTAATGTGCTGTCTAAATAATGTTGATTCTCACAGAATTGCAAACATTTTTTGAGTGACAAACCTGGCCTCCCCGCTGTCCATTTTTCATCCTCATCAAAGTGTATGTCTCCTCCTATACCCTCTCCTGGCTGAAAGGCGTGAGCCAGCACACCCCGGGGGCCATCAAAGGGAAAGAAATCTCCATGAGCTGCAACCGAAAAAACACTTCTGAATTAGACAGGATTTATAAAGACATGCTGTGTTTCTATCTCTTTTTTGACATAACGAATTAGGAATTCTGTTTTAAGTGTATCTTAACCAATGTAATAATTGACTAGAAGTGGTTTTCAGATTTACTTCTGCGGGCGAAAGAGAAGACTATATCAGCTTTGCCATGGTTGACTTTGATGAACCTCAGTGGTGCTGCATCACTCCACATCTTCAGGGCTGAACCAAACGACTTGTCCACGTCCTCTCTCTTCATGTCTGGAGTGTATTTGGCAATCCTGTATGCCAGTGCCAAATATGGACAGACTAACGTGAGACAGTGGGAGCAACAAGTTCCACAGCTGCAGCTACAGTAACATATCCTCTGTGAGCAAAATCTAAAAATGAAACAAACAAACTACAAGAAAATGGTCACTTTACAATATGACAGTAATCAAAAAAGAAAATGGTCACTTTATAATATGACAGTAATCAGTAAAAACACAAGAAAACTCAAGCATGTTTCTGAGTAGGTACAAAACATCTCACATGTATGTGATGGTGTGGTTCTTCCATTTAGGCTTCTCGGGGTAAAAGCTGAAGTTTTCTACATCCGGAACACCACATCTGGGCTCCCTCATCACATCCAGGGTATTAGGGTCCAGACGGCCAGTCTCTCTCAGACCAAAGAAGTTCTGCATCTCTCTGATGCTCTCCTCCAAGGTTGACGTGGACCTGATCCTTCTTCCTGACACTCTGCCTCTGGGGTTCAGATTGTAAAACCTCCTGAGGTAGCCCTGTTGTTGAAAGGAGTTCAGATCTGGAGAATCAGGTCTAGTTTCTGTATTGTAGTTTGATGTGAGGTTAAAGTGCAGCTTCTCTTTGTTAGTTCATTTCGTGAAGGACACAGATGAGTTGAATTATTATTATTTTACTATTAAATGGAAGTATATCACCTACAAAGAGGGAGACAAGTTAGAAAGTGATGTTTAGGTGATTGAGAATTGAATCAGCAAAAGGAGCAATTTAGAACAATAGCAATGCAGCAATATTTAGTTTAAGCCATCATTTGAAAGACATTAAAGTCATATGTTTTCTGGTTGTTTACCATATTCTACATTCAAGATGTGGGTAAAACTATAAGTGGGGGTTTTTTTTTAATCGTCTTCACACTTAAAAAATAAGCATGAAAACATTTGTGTTGCATTTGGTCCAAATTAATATATCAATAGATAGATTAACCTGTATTATGTATGTAATGGAACTAATCAGTTCAAATACACGTAAGTTTTACAAAACCATTGCTTGGTTACAGTTTGGAATAGTTTTACATTAAAGATTCTGCACAACAAAAATCACACACATAATCCTAAAATGTAACATATATAGGATATCTGTGTCTATAAAGCCTAAAGACAGTCGTCCACCCACAAACCTCAGCCAGCTCCACGTCCTTAGAGCTTGGCCACTGATCCTGATCGATGGGCAGAGTCCACAAGATTTCCGCTAACATCAGAGAGCCCAAAACAGGTATCCACAGCCAGACTAACTCCATGTTTTAAATGTACATTTCCACCGTGCTTCACATTTTTTATATGGGAGTATTCTCAGGGTTGTTAGGTAATCACATGGCCCAAAAGCGCACAATCCTGGTAGTTACAGCTGGGTCTACCTGCCCCAATTTTCTGGAGGTTTTGTGGTTAAAACCTCCCAATGAAATGTCTGCATACTATGTCTGGGCTTTCTGTCTGTAATGGTGAAACGTGTGTGTACAGTGTGTTTTGTATTATAGAAACCAGAAGCCACATTCTGTACATTGTACTCATCAAGTCAAAGCCTGTAGCCATTAGTGAGGCAAACCTAATTTACACTCATCTGCCATATGTCTATATCAGGCTCTACCACAGTGACAACTGATCGGCAAATGCTAGGAGCATTTTACTGTAGGCTAGATGTAAAAACCAAACACACATTTTATCAGGTTTAAATTCTTTATTTTGACAAAATAGAATGACTGATAAATAAAACTCCACTCAAAAGTGAAGAGGCACAGTGTTTTTGTCTTCTCGTGGTTTAATTTAATTAAGGTTTTCAGGTAATTTCCTTGCTGCATCTTCATGGATTTACAGTATTTCAACATCCCAGCCAGGAATTTGCTTTCTCAACTCCAACAACATGTTTCCGGGTGTAGTCGTATTTGTAGACTTGTGGTCCAACAAAGAAGTAGATGAAACCTGAGATGAGAAAAGTGGAGGCAGACAAAGTGATTCACATATTTAACCTTTATCATGTTGTGTTGTCTAGAATATCTTTTTTGTTGTTGATGATGATCAGAAGTATATCATATGAGAGGCTGTAAGTGGTAAAGTGGGTAAATTATACGGTCTAATCATAGAGGGGAACCACATGCTCTGTACAAACTTCACTCCACTCAGCTGATGTTGCATGTAAATTAGCATTCCTGCACTACTAATAACAATACAACTTGCAAAAGCCCCCTTAAACTACAGACGTAAAAAGTATATTACCTACTAAACCTAGAGGGGGGAATGCTGTTGGTATGTATATTATGTGGTTTGTTGAGGAACATTTCTATATTTCAGTAAGACTGTAAGTAAACAAACAACTTAACTTACATTGCAAACACACAGTAAAGTGGGTGATAACAATTACACTGACTCACCCGCTTTATAAACAGTTGCATTTATTGTTGTGTTGATACCAGGAAAGTCCTCGCTGATGTACTTTGGGTAACCGAAATCCATAACCCTTCGATTTTCATTGTAACTGAAAAACACAAAAAAGATATAAACAACGTTTGTCAGAAGTCATGACTCATGATCATCTGTTCATCTTTCAAAGCAGAGACAAAACATTTGTTCATCGTTGCTACTAGTACGGTCACGTCATCCAACCTCAGAGTCCAAATTGAGCCCTTTGCGCTCTGTGTGAGGTCCAAATGACAAACAAAATCCTCCAGTCAGATCTGAGTCAACTTTTTTAATGTGCAAGGCCCTTTTCTACCAGTGCTTTGTGATTTGTCTCGGCTATGCCACTACACTTTCATTTAGTTATTTAGGCTTTAAAAAAGTACAGTATAATTTTATTTAATTCAATCTGTAGTACTGAAATCTGTCATGTCTGTTTGCTTAGGCTTGATATTGGACTCCAATTTCTGGTCCTGTGCCAAACATGTATTCTCTTCTCGTGTTCTCGGTCCTGGAGGGCACGAAACTGTATGCTAAAATAACCTCAAACAGCTGGGTGAAATGCTATATGGGTAAGTGCATGCAAATAAAAGAAGGTATGGTCCTTTAAGTAGGTGCAATTGCTATAATTTCAGATTCCAATTTGATGTTTGAAGTTCTATAGAAAACTTTTATTGCCACAATCAACATCATATAAAAAAAGTTTGTTTATACTGATCATTGGATTCATGTTGTTCATTTGTTGCATTACCTCCAGTAAATATCATGCATAAAGAAGAGGGTGCGTCTTGTTTTCACAATGTGCACTGCTGCGTCGACGTCCTGGACCCAGGCTGGAAACCCAAAGTGGCTGAGTGCTCGTGGCTTTCCTTTCACAACAGACCCTTTCACAGTCCAGAACATGGATTCTGTTGACAGATAGTAGAACAATCAAAGGGATTAGATTTTATTATAAGGATGCCATGAAATCAAATAAATCTGTGCAGATTACTTGTGAGACTAAAGTATAAAAGACAGTTACCATGAATGAGATAAGCAGTGGATCTGCGAGGCACCCAGAAGGCAGCATCGATGCTGGTTTCAATCTTGGGCATAAAGTTGGTGATGGGACCTTCTTTGATGTCATATTGCTCATTATGTTTAATCCAGAGATATCTATAAAACGTTAGCGGTAAGGTCACCAATTATTTTAGGATGCAAGTGATATTAAAATCAATCATACAGAAAAATCATCAACGTACTTCTCTCTGAAAAAGAAGGTGGCATCCCCAAGAGTGGAAACTGCATCAAAGGTCATGTCTGGATCACATTTATTCTGCATGAGCTGCGGGAACAGCGATCCTGACAGCCAGGGGTTGGACTGAGAGCTCCAGCCGTACATTGAAAAGTAATTTGGACGACCTCTGACTGGACCTAACACACATCAGCACACACCTAAGGTTCAGGTTCCACTTCAATAAAAACACTCTTGAGTCAGAAATGTGTTGCTGTACTTCTCTGTACAGTCAATTCATAATTTTAAACACATAGAAATTTACTGTAAAGTGCGTTGATATTTGCTACATCTTCACTGGATATTAGGTTGGCACGGGGGGATCGGTAGGTCGGATACATCAGTGACGCAGGGTTTCTGGAGTGCTTCAGGCCCAAAGCATGGCCAAACTCATGTGCAGCTACAACAAACAGATTAAAACCTGAAATAACACAAAGAAAATGCATCCAATTAAATCATTGTCTTTTGTACATTGGATTCCTTCAGGATCATTGTGGAGTGTGATTTAGTTCAGCACCTGTTTCTCCAGCTGTCCAGTGCTCGTCGTCATCAAAGTGCGTGTCCCCTCCAACGCCCAACCCTGGACCGAAAGCATGAGCCAGTGTGCCTCTGGGTCCGTCAAATGGATACAAGTCACCATGTTCTTCATAATATAATCCAGACCAAATAGGAAGGAGAAACCACAGAGAAAACCACTTTCTTTCATGCCAAAACAAAATTACAGGCCTCTGTTCGCCTCATCTGAATGAGTTCAGCAGCCAGTGCATGATGCCACTGTCTTACTGTAGTTAGGCATTAAATTGCTACTGAAGCTCCTCATGTGTATATCCCTGGGATTATCTTTTACATAATACACAATATATCACAGAAAAGTGTATTTTTTATTCTGTGAGCATGACTCAAGCTGTTCAATGTCGTATGTCTCTGTCCTGTATCAAACAAAAAGACAAACCCACCACTGGTCACAAACTCCACCATGATGTCAGCGCTGCGGGTGTGGGACCTGACAAACGTCAGACTGCTGGCCCTGGCCCAAATGCTGAAAGCTGACTCAACCAGAGAGTCCACAGTGTTGCGAGGCAAATCTCTGGTGTATCTGCCTATGCTGCAAAAGCAGTGAGTACATGTCATGTTGTTGCTTGACATAAAGATCAAGACACAGGATCCTCTAAATCTAAATATAAATCTTATCAATCTGTCAAGAAATGATTGATAGGACAAGAACTTGTGCTATTTGTTGAAGAATACTAAGGCCTCAGCACTACATAACTTTGGTGGATACATTTTTGGTTTTTACAAGAAGCATAAAGGGAACTGCAACTTGGATTTCAATATACAACCCTGTTTTGTAAATTGACATTTAAATTGCCTATATGTAGTTATATAGACTTGTGTAAATTAAATCTAGCATTTAACAAACTATGACAATAGCCGCTTTTCTCAGATTTTCTTTAATTATACATGTGTTCTGCTCCTAATCCAGCTGCCATGGCTCCAGCAGGACTTGCAAAGAACTGGACAAGGACGTTCCAGACAGTGTTACATAAGTTCAAGCATGTATGAATGTTGAATGTATGAGCTTGGCACTGGAACAAGCCCACAAAAACTCTCAGAGGCAGGAGTCCCAAAACCAAAATCTGTTAACCATAATGATTTGTGACAGTTGCTATTCCCCATTTCTGCCAAAGATTTTATTGCCTGCTGCCTCAAAATGTTTCCCACGTTTTGGCGGGGTTTGCATTTTAGGGACAACCAGACTGTTCTATTTTTTGCAAGTTCAGTCTCGGTCAGACATGCCTATATCATATACAGCTATAACTTCCAGACAGTAATTCTAGGCAAATGTAAAAACAAAAAGAGTGATAGCATCTTCATTATTAAATTTAATAAAAGTCCACACAGATACCTGTAGGTGATGACATTCTTGTTCCATCGTGTCCCCTGAATGTGACTGTACTCCTCCACATCTGGAACCCCACATCGAGGGCTGCTCATCACCTCCAGGGTATCTGAGTCCAGGACACCCGTTGCATTCAGCCCAAAGAATATCTGCATGTCTTTCACCTTGGAGGTAAAGGAGGGCCCGCTCCGCTTCATGCGTCCCATAGGTTCTATTTGCAGGTCGTAGTACTGCTTAAGGTATTCCTGTGAGTAGATTCGAGATCCACATCAGATCTATCTTGGTGCCCTGAAGAGCCAAGTTAATCGGTCCCGCACAACTTAACTAATGCCAAGGTAGAAAGTGGTATTCCTTATGTGGATGGACTCCTTATTTGCAGCATGCATTATAGTAGATTACACACTATTATCATAATTCGCATCCATCAGATAGCACATTGTATTTATTAACTTGTACATAACCAATCTAACACTCTTGGGTAATCAGATTTATAGCATCAACTGTCAATTACAACTTCTCTAATTACAACACAAATCCCTCACAACAACAAACTGAATAAAGCCTCCCCATGCAACCGGTTCCCTTGCAATTGCTTCCAAAGAAAAACAAGAATACATTCACAAAAGGAAATTATGGAGAGGGAAAAGTGAGGATGCTGAAAGAATCTGCTAAAG